CCCTTTTCAAGCCCCAACATTTAAAATCTTGATTCCTCCTTTTCACACATTTGTAGAGTCCCAGAGCTACTGAATACCGCTGCCAGGCTCTCTTTTGACCAAACAAAAACATACACAAAAAATAAATTCAAGGTGGATAAAAGACTTAAATATAAGTCATGACACCACAAAAGTCCTAGAGGAAAACATCGTCAGGAAAATCTCAGACATTCCATGCAGCAACATCTTTACTGGTATGTCCCCTAGAGCAAGGGGCATAAAGAAAGGAATAAACAAGTGGGACCTCATCAAATTAAAAAGCTTCTGCACAGCTAAAGAAAACAGCATTAAAATTAAAAGAGAACCAACTACATGGGAAAACATGTTTGCCAATGACACCTTGGACAACGGTTTGATCTCCAAAATATGTAAAGAACTCACACAACTCCATTCTAGGAAGACAAACAACCCAATTAAAAAATGGGCAGAAGACATGAACAAACATCCTTAGTTTTGAATTGAGACCTCTCTCACAATCTTCACCCCCAAGAGACAGGGAGGATTTGCCTTGGTCTACTCCGAGGCATTTGCAACCCCCCAAATATGTGCGGGAGCCACTAGAAGACACATTTGGAAACCACCAACCCAACTTTGACTTCTTATTTTGTAACCTTTATATTCTTCCAGCATGTTCTCGTGAACCCTCAAAGTGAGCATTTTTCAAGCGAGGGCATTAACTTCCTGCTTCTACGTGCTGCCCAGGCGTTCTGTTTCACCATCCTCATTAGGAATGGGGTTGTGTTTTCTCATCAGCTGTCACACTGGGACTGCTGGTAAAACTATTTGTTTAAGGACGAGATGAATCAGTATTTCCTGGGTGTTAGAGTTGCAGTGATCTCCTTTGTCACTCTGTAAATTAGTCATAGCTGTATCTGTCACACCCTTACAGGTACAATTTACACAAAGTGAACCATTTCAAAATTTATTCTGTGTAATTTCTATTTAGAATGTAGGTGTTATTTCCAAAGGACATCAGTTTTGTAAAAAGGTTGGTTTAGCTAATCCTTTGTCTACTTTGTAGAGCCTGTGAGTTGATTAAGGTTTAGCTATTGATCTAAGACTCAATATTTGTAGGACCCACATTTGCTAAATTGTCTCATTTTATTAATCTAGAGATTCTCTTGTACCTATATAATATTCTCTATTTGATATATGACAAAAGCAATATAACCAGAGCAATCTTTTTCCTTATGTTGCAGTATTAGATATACATAAAGAAAGTGGCATAAAACACAGAGGATAAAGAATAATTTTTCATTGGACGCCTATGTGATGCTGCCCTGCTCAGTCATAACCCAACTCAATTTTTCTTGAGGACCACTGTTCTTGACTTTCGTTAACATTATTTGCTTTTCTTTTGTAGTTTTCTTTTTCATTTATGTGTACCTAGGATTAGGATGGTTAGATAGGGAATATTAGTGTTTCCCACTTCATTAGAAAATGCCAAACATTTTCTGTAGTGATTATACCAACTTGCACTCCCACCCCTCGCGTGTGAGTTTCCATCGCTCCACATCTTCACCAACAGTCAGTTTTGCTGGACTTTAAGTGTTTCTAATTGCTATCAAGAATGACAACCTTTTTATTGCTTCTCGGCCTTTTGGCTAAGATCAAGTGAAGAATGACAACCTTTTAATTTATTTGCCTGTTATTTGTATGTCCTTGTTTTAGAGCACTTATTGACACTTTTGCCTATTTTTTATTTCCTATAATTTTGTAGGAATTATTGATATACATACATAGTAGATCTTTGATTATTAGTTTCAAGCATATTCTCCCACTCTGTGGCTTGTCTTTTCTTTCTTTATAATGTATTTTTATGAAAGGCAATTCTTAATTTTAATATAGTGCAGTTTAATCAGTTTTTATATATAATGCAGTTTGAAACATTAGTTCTTTCCTACCCTGAAGTTTTAAAAAGATTATGCTATATTATCTTATAAAACATCTTTTTTATAATTTAGCTCTTAAATCAACTTAGAATAGATTATTATATGGTATAGAGCTAAAGTGCAGATTTATGTTTATCTACTTTTCCAATCTATCATTATTGAAAACACTATTTTTACTATAAACAAATGTCTCCTGTGCTACTTCTGCCACATATCAAGTGACCATAAATTCAGGTATATTTCTGGGCTCTCTAGTCTAGTCTTTTAGTCTATTTGTCACCCCTGTGTCAGTACCGCACCACTCTAATTATGTGTGATAAAAATAATTGTTATTAGGTGGTCTTACCTTTTATTTATTTTTTTCAAGAATTTCTTGGCTCATTGTTTTTCTGTATTTCTGTGCTTCAATATATATTGAGATTGAGATTAATTTCAAACCAAACAAAAACTCCTGGAAATGTTGAATGGGATTGCCTTGAATCTATAGGTCAATTTGAGAAAACTAACATCTTTAGAGTATTGAGTCTTACCAAAACATGGCTTGCTCACTATCTGTCTATATTGTTCTTTGTAATATATTCCATTATAACATTTCTGGCTTATCATAAGGTCTTACATATTTTTGTTAAGGTTCTTTCTAAGTACTTTGTACAGTTTGGAGTACTGTAAACATTATCTTAAATTTTCTTTTTTATACCCTTCCTGATATCGAGATTTTTATATCAAGCAACCTTACTAAATTTTATATCAAGCAACTTTACTAAACTCATGTATTAATTCTAATATTTTACCTGTAAAGTCATGGATTTTTTCTAAATATACAATCATAGTGAATAATAGCTTTATTTTCCCTTTATTATATGTGTGTGTGTGATACTTGCACAAACATGTTTCTTTCCTTTTGTTCTTGTCTGACATCTGCTGATACCCTTAGGAAAACGATGAATATAAGTGATAGGAACACATATTCTTATGTTATGCTGAATCTCCCAGGGAAAACATTTCAAAGTGTAATGTTTGATGCAGGTTTTAAAAAAAATTAACATACTATAGACTTAACTTTTTTTCTTTTTGGTGTCCAGTTCTATAATTTTTATCCCACATATAGATTCATGTGACCACTATCACAATCAGGATAGAAACGTGGTCACATCACCCTAAAGGTACCTGTTTGTGCCAACACTTTGTAGTCAAACCTCCCCTCATCTCTGACCTCCAGCCACTACTTCTTTGATCTGTTCTTCGTCCCTATGGGGTTTTTGTCTTTTACAGAATGTCATTTAAGTTTAATTAAACAATAGTTAGCCTTCTGGGACTGACTTCCTTCTCTCTGCATAATGCCTTTGAGATTCATTCATTTCTTATTATTGCTGAGTACTATTCCATTCTACGACTATACCACAGTTTATTTATACATTTAATCATTAAATTATATATATATTTTCTAGCTCTGCAACTTACTGAACTTTGCACCAGTTCCTTCATTCTTAATGAGGAAAATCTACCTACACTGTAGTATCACTGCAGGAATGAAATGGGTTCATACATGTGAAGTGCTTAGATAACACTTGGTGCATAGTAAGTGCTCAGTAAATACAACCCATTATTATCGTTCCCATTACCAGTAAGGACTCTGAGGTAGAAAAGAAGTCAACAAATTCAAGGAATAGCAAGGAAGCCAATGTGCCTGGAGCGTGATGAGCAAGGGGAAGACAGGGAGAGGTGTGAAGGAGCCAGGTCACGAAGGGTCTCATGGGCTGTGGTAGGGAGTTTTGATTTCCCAGAGATGGGTCATGGCCTGGTTCATGCCTTCCGCAGATCTTTCAGGCTGGTGTGAGGAGAATGGGTTTTGGTGGTGGGAGAGTGAAAGCAGGTAACCTTTTCAGCTCAAGGGAATAGGTGGTAGTGGCTTGGACCATTGTGGTGGCTGTGAAATGGGGAGAAGTGGTTTGACTTAGGATATGGTTTGGAAGTAGAAACCTCAGAAATTGCTGATGGATTCATAGCTCAGTGGACCACACTCCCCGTGAGAGCAGTAGTATGACGAGTCATAATTATCAGCAGCAGTCCTTCTCCCTGGTCATGGCTTTACCAAAGATTTCCCTCGTCCACTTTTGAATTGAAACCTGGCCTTTCATGGCTGACTTCTGAAATTCACTTGAAGAAATAGCCTGTCTTTTCATACATTTTAAAATGACATCCAGCTGACATTTTTCTTATTCATACTCACAACCCAAACACATTTGTAGAAAGCTTGCTTATCCCACAAAAACGTTTTCTCACAGCATTTTGCTTTGTGCATCTCTGCAGCCTGTGCAGTTCTCTGAGCCCACATCCCTAGTCGTATTGCTGGAAATGAAGTTGTCATAGCTGCTTCATGCTCAGCCAGGGAGTGGTCGTTTCAGCAGTTGGCCAGAGTTCCTGTGTACACTTGGGACTTATTGTTGGAATAAACATTATTAGACTCAGACTAAATTGGGCCAGAAATTTATTTTTGTCCTCCTTTCAACTTCAACTCACACTACATTCTCTCACCCAGATGACAAATGGCCTTGACTTTCTGAAGTGATCTAAAGGTTGAAATCAGCCCTGGTGCTTGCTTAGCCTTGCATTCAAATGGAGATTTATTTGGGGCTGGGGAGAATTAAAAATAAAATTCTGATTTTGTAAAGGAAGTTTTATTTTATTTCTTACGTGTCTGTTCTTAACACATCTGCATTTGTTTTCTGTGGGGCCTTAACTTCCAACTCCTCCTTGAAGCAAAACCCTGGCCCCATCTTTATCTGGAACACTCATCGTGCTTTTATTTTTTAACCCTGTCCTATGTACCTAATTGGAGGCTTATTATAATTCCAGGTTTGCTAAATGGAAAGAGATTTCCCTTCTATGCAGAGCCACTTGTCCTATCTTGTCTGTGTTCAGCATCTCTCGTCAAGTCCATGTCAAAGTGTGGTGTTTATTTACCCAGCTTACTTGCACAAGCACCTCTGGAGTCTTGAAGATGCCCACTTTGAATTTTGTCTATAATTTTGTGCTTCTTTGTAATTGGCTTCTTTTGTGATCTTACAGAATACCAAGCTGCTATTTTACACTTGAAGAGAGAACACAAAGAAGAAGTTGAAAACCTACAGGTACATCTCTTTGATTCTGTTGAACTGGTTGTGTGAGGCTGATTCTTGGTTTACTCATATGCTGAAGTAAATATTTCCCTTTCGAAGGCATATTTGCCTAGACAGCACCTGCAGCTCACACCTGCCAGAGAGCAAGCACCAAGTCCACCCTGGGGAGAAAAGCCTTGGACTCTGTTTTTAATAGAATTCAGTTTCTATTTTTTTAAAAGATTTTATTTATTCATTTTTAGAAAGGGAAGGGAGGGAGAGAGAGAGAGAGGGAGAGGGGGGGGGAGAGAGAGAGAAACATCAATGTGTGGTTGCTGGGGGTCATGGCCTGCAACCCAGGCATGTGCCCTGACAGGGAATTGAACCTGTGACACGTTGGTTTGCAGCCTGTGCTCAATCCACTGAGCTACGCCAGCCAGGACTCAGTTTCTATTTTTAAAATATACCACAAGTGCATTAGAATGGGCAAATGATCTGATCTGGAAAAATGATGGTTTTATTCGTGAAGCAGGAAAGATGATAGAGCACTTAGACTTTTGCTGTTTATCAGAAGTATTTAAATCTATGTTCAGGGTAAAATTATTTGGTTTGGCTTACTCCCATTCATGCATTTGTATTTGTCTGTCTGTCAGCGCACGCTGCAATAAGATACCAGGCAGGTTCAGGCGCCCAAGGAAGTGGCCCCAGGGGGAGGGAGAGTGGTGTGGAGCCATCTGTTCCGTGTTCTCAGGGAGTGCCTGGAAATTGCTGACTTGATCCCCTTTGGTGAAGCCCAGAGAGCCTGAGGCATCATTTCCTTTATCCCATCATCTACTTGTCCACCCCTTATTTCTGCCTGAAACAGGAAGCTTCAGAGTCTTAATTCCAAGTAAGAAAATATTGAATGAGTCACTGATTCTCGTTTATTGATAGCTGGCTTGACCCCATCCCTCAGGAGAGGTATAAATTAAAAATAAAACTTGGTGCTTAGTTTTAACTGATTACTTGCTAATTTAATAAAATAGTGGATCAAATATTTGCCTTTTGAATAAGTGATAACACACTATTAAAACAACTGGGACCACGTGTTTGATTATACATGAAGCCATTGCAAATAGGAAAAGATCATTAAGTAAATTGTATGGCTTATGAATTCAAGCCACCCCCACCCAGCAGGGGTTAAGTGGGGACTGAGTCTGTTTCACAAAGAAACAAAAAAGTGGAAAAGTACCTCTGTCTCCTGGGGAAAAGAGAGGTGGAGGCCCTTGTCTCCTTTGTTGCAGACTGCTCTACAGAGACCTCTCTTTCTTCACCTGTGTTCCACCGTGCAAAAGATCCTCAGCTGTCTCAGGGGAACTGAACCGGGGATTAATTTAAGAAGCAGATTGCTAACGAGGTTAGGTACAGAGCGGTTCCGTGAGCAGAAATTTTATGTAACAGCTTCGTTTGAAAGAGTTAACACTGGCTTTCCCAAAGCTGTAGATCAGCCCTGTTGAAGACTTTGAGCACTCAATAATATTCATAGTAACTGAAGGTACTTAACAACTTTTGAGTTCTTACTTTGTGCTGGATATTGTTTTAGACAACTACATACATTGTCTTGTGTCATCTCATAACAGTCCTATGATCTTCCACCCCAAACCTAGGAAACTTTAGTTTGAGATAGATGGAAAGGCTGGAGAAAGGAAAGAGAAGAGTAGATGGAAAGGAAAAAAGTATATTGGGATCATGATCTCTACTTAAAATAAAATCAGAACAAGGTATGAGTGACAATAATAAAGGTTAAAAAATGGTTCTGGTTATATCTTCAGTGTTCTTTAAATTCTGAATTATCTGTTTTTCAAATGCTCTTTTCAGTAAACTATAAAAAATGTTTTTGCCCAGTATTTGATTAATACCTAATTGCTAAAATCAATTGCCATGGCACTCCTGACATGAGGGCAGGGCAGGGTACCAATCTATACACACTTAGCTGTGGTTCAGAACTATGTCAGCAGCCACAGGCAGCCCTCAGCAGGAAACCGGCAACTCATTCTAGAGGGTTTTCTGGCAGTGGTGGGCTTATTTTCCTGTATCACTTCAACCTATAGGGGTGGAGTGGCCGGTCCCCACTTCAATGGGTACACTTGTTCTCTAGTTTGCCACTGTCCCCACCCTGGGCCATTTCACCTGCCTGGTTCTTTATGCTTTAATTAACCCCTATTCTCTGGAAGGTGTAGAAAAGAAAGTAACTAGGTTGGCAGCAGTACCAACCAGTCAGAACAGCATCTGCCCATAAAACAGACGATAACCTAGCCTGGCTGTGCTGTGGGCACTCACTGAATATCATCTCTACTTGCTTCACTTTACAAAGTAACAAAGTTGCAACTATTGCCACAGGACCGATGGAAGATGATGGATAGGGAGACTACTGTTTCAGTGTTCGTTTCTTTGTATGTAATTTCCGTTGGCAGCCTTCCACTGCCTCTTAGATTTTCTCTCTTACAGGTCGTGGAAAGGTCAGATGTGTTTCAGGGCTTCTTCAACATGCCTTTCTAGCATTAGAAAGATTGCATGATTAAAGCATACAGGAAAAGTAATTAATTCTGTCACCACATACGAGAATTGATACGTATCACGTGTAGCTTTTTTGGAATGTTTTTGTAGAGTTTAAAATGTGACATGATTCAATAAACAGAGAGCCTAAATTCAGAGAACCTTAAGTGTTCAGTTCCCTGACCCACAAACGGGATCCTAACCACCTGAAATAACTTGGTTGGAGGTTGATGTTTTTAGCTCAGAGTCTCAAGGCTTGTGAGTGGGGGGAGTCTGGAGTGTTTAATGCCATGCTGGCCATTTGTGGAGTGCTGTGCCCTAGAAAGGGCATGGGGCTTGGTCTCAGGACCAGCTTTTCAAAATGTGCAGGAACTTATGTGCAGATTCCCCTTTACAGTTCAAAACCAAAGATTTATCGATGACTTGACTCAGTTTCCAGCATCTTATGTTTGCATACCTTCTACACAAAGTCAAAGCACTTGGCTAAGTTTTCTATTTGAATCTCTAGTAAGAGTGTGTTGGCAGGTCAAACACTGTCTGTGGCTTCCCTATTACATGTCATTTATAGTATAACCACAGCAAATTCTTTAGTTTTGTCCAAGGGTGCCTTTTATTTAACAAACTATGCCTTGAGGGTTTATGATCACTTCATGATACTTAGCATCATCTGGTCCATTTTTCACTTTTACATAATTCTATGTTACTGACTTTATTTTTGAAAAGTTAATGCCTTACTTTTACAGGTTTTCACTTATTTGAGAAATTTTTGCCTGTGGTAGGCATTACTGTGAGTTCATGACCACTGGATAGAAACATAGTTCAGACTTGCCCTTCTAAAGCATGCAATGAAAACCAATTCTCCCAAGTACAAACAGTTGTTTCTGTGAGCTTGCTTAGGAGCAAGATTTGAAAATTACCATCACAGCTGTTGTGCATGATGTGTGACTGTAAAGCTGATCTTACTGTAGTCAGAGAATTGGATGTGATATTTTAAGCACAATGAGAATGTGAAAGACCTCGGGTTTTTGAGTCAGGATGCAGTTCAACTCCTCGTGCTATAATGTTAAGAAGTGAATCAGCTTCTCTGGGACTTGGCTCTCTCAGTTGGACATCTGTGCAACAGTACTCGTGCTGCTGCTGGTCCGTCCCTTAGGGTTGGTGGGTGCAGTGTACACACAGTGGTTCTAGTTACTACCGCATGGCTCCGTAGTGTTCTTTCTCATTCCTTTTTCTCTGTACCAGTCTCCATGTGATTGAGCAACTTGGGTTTAGAGTGATCCTTGGGCTCTTTTGGTTGAGGACTTCCGTGAGACACTTGACTTATTCTTTTAGGGTGATTTTCCCATGATCTTTCAGCTGTTCTTTTGCTTCTGTGCTCTCCATCAGAGGAGTCTAAACCAGGTTTCCCAAGGCTCATTCCCCTGAAGAGTGAACCTCTGAAATGCTTCTTGACAAAAAGACTTCATGGTAAAGAAGTTTGAGAAATATCTGGTTCCCCTGTTAGGGCTTTACCGTATACAGAGGACTACAAGAGAGAAAACTATATAATTTGCTTCCCACATTAATTTTTCCCCCAAGTAACTCATTTTTTTGAAATATTGCTCTATGTTGACCTGTATGATCTTACCATCTCAGTGTACATTCTACTTCCTGAGTTTAAATTAAATTCTTGATTGGTGTCCACTGAGGTCTTGCTTACTAATCTGCTGACGTAGGCATCCTGCCGGGAGCATGGATGTTTGTCTCTGCAGCTTTTAAAGTACCTGCCAAAGTGTTTGGCAAATAGATGGTGCAAAAATATAGACCGTTATATAACAACCTACGATTGAAAAATAATAGTACCTAACTTGTAATCCAATCTATACTGTGTGCCAACCTGTTCCAATCATTTAGCACTAGTATTTTTTTCTTTTTGCTTAAACAACAAATATCTATTTTTCATAATTTTGGATTGAAGGTTGGACTTCTGAGGTTAGGGTGCCTGCAAGGTCAGGTTCTTGGTGAGAGCCTTCTTCTGGGTTGGCAGAAGCTGTATCCTCACATAGTAGGGAGAATCAGATGAAAGAGAAAGGAAGAGAGAAGAAGGAAGAGGGAAGAAGGAGGAAGTAAGGAAGGAGAGAGAGAGAGAGGGCATCAGTATTACAAAGAGTAAATGTAGAAATATAAGCAAAGTCGTATATTCATCTCCATTTTAAAGATGACAAAACGTGAGGCTCTCAGAGATCAACTTGACTTGTCAGAAGTCCTAGACTGGTAAGAGGAGAACCTGAGTTTGAACCCACCTAGATCTGTCTGACTTTGAAGCCTATCCTCCTTCCAATAATCAATGTAGTATTAATGAAAAGAACATTAGATTTAGAGTTAGAAGTTGTAAATCCTTAGGTCTTGGGTTTGACATGATAAACATGAACTTCAAGCAATGCTTTTGGGCTTATTTTCCTAATTTCTCTCTTATTTTTATTATTGTTTATGCTGTTACAGTTGTCCCAATTTTCCCC